GAAGAGGCTTAAATGTCCAAATATGCTATTAAAAGGCAGACAGATAAATTAGTGCTTCCTTGTTAATCTTATGAGTTTAAAACTGTTCAGCCATTTCATTGTAATAAAATTAATTGTATTGAAATCAGGCAGCTGGTCAGGTAAAAGTACATTACCTCTGTAGAACATTTGCAACAGATTTCTTTCTATGGTGTGTTTGAATGAAAACTGCTCTTTGTTTTGTGGCACCAATATGTCTTACCTGTCTCACTTTTTTCCCTTCCTCAGGGAGATACTGGAGAAAGTGGCCCCAAAGGTGACACAGGCGAAAAGGTACAGTTTTATGAGATATGAAAGGGCATTCGTAGGAGCAAAACTGTTATTTCGTGTGTGTGATAATGGGAGGTTTTGAGAGCAATGCGTCAGAGTATCCTAACATAAGATCAGAGATAGTTCTCTAAGATTAGAAGACATTTAAATATTTGATTAAAAGACATTTAAATATGTGATTTATAAAAAAGTGATTAATTTGAATCCTTTCCACAAATTTAAATATTTTGAAAGCAAAACAGTGTATCCAGAATGCTAGAAAATGCATAGCTAAGTTCCAGTAATGTGGCCTTCAAGGAAGAAAAACACGTGTCCTGAATGCTCCCTTTATACACAGGGGTATAACATAGAGTTCCTAAAGTGACTTGGTTTGTCCCAATTTAAGGAGAGAACATGTCAGACGATTGGTATAAAATTTTAAAGTTTGATTATAAATGAATATCCCCTGATTAGATCCTTTAAAGCAATCTTGAAAATTTGCCTCAACGTGAAACCCACTAAATCTGTGTATTTTGTCTCTCTGTTGTCTCTCTCCTCCACTTGCCTTTTAAACCATGATCTGCAGGTATAGTGCAGTGGTCTATGGCCTGTCTTCTTGCCTCCCTCTTTTTTCCCTCTGTTCCATCATTGTAGCATTTGCTTGGATTCATCCTTTGACACCTGACATCAGAACATTTCTAACATTGATATTTCACTTCACCTTGACCACGTTAAGATCAAGAAAATCTTTCAAGAAACCAAATCTAAAATAGAATCAGGTGGATTTTTAGCATAAATCAGGCTAAATAAATTGAGTGATTAAAAACATTATTTACTTAGGCTTATAGTTGAGAATGAAACATTCAACTTTAGAAGTTATTATAGTACAGATGGGTAATGGTCAGTCATAAAAACATATTCATAAAACAAAAAAGAATTATCTTCTCATAAATATTAATGTAAATATGGCATGGAGTGGGATTGAATCTATGTCACCACAATTGTGTTTGTATTTGAGGAACAGTCTAGAGGTTAGAGAGGACTTTTAGTTTCCTACAAGAAACTACAGGTTAGGGTCTCTTGGCCTCTGCACTATTGACATTCTGAGCCAGGTAATTCTCTATTGTGGGAGTTGGCTGATGTTCAGTCACTCTTGGCTTCTACCTACTAGATGCCAGTGGTACCCCTGAGTTGCAACAAAGACACATGTCCACACATTTCCAGATGTTCCCTGCAGTACAAATTCACCCTACATCAGTTCCACTGATGTAGACCCATTCTATTGATCTGCTAAATTTTAAGTCCCATGATGCCATCGGATGACATGAAACTTTTTGATGCATTTGAGACCAAGGTTAGAAGTCGACTACTCTCAAAATCAAAATTTGAAACCCTAAATGTATAACCTTAGGTGATGTTATGTTTAATTTTCTTGGTTCTTCTTAAAAGCAGAGGTCAGCCAACTTCTTCAGTAAAGGGCCAGAAAATAAATATTTTAAGTCTTTGTGGGCCATATGGTCTCTGTCATAAGCTCTTCAGCTCTGCTGTAGCGTGAACACAGCCAC